GAAAGATAGATTTTACATGATTATACATGGTAGGCATAAAGATCAGAGGTTACATTATGAAAATAAAAAGTAAACGTATTTTAAATCCTAACGTTTACTCTAAGCAAGAGCTGAAGCAAACAGTATCTCACCCTGACAGATGGTACAAGCAGGTTACAGCTCCCCAAGACTCAGGCTGGGACCACCTTCCAGCCTGGGACCACCCTTATCCAGACATTCCTCCAGGTATTGAGCTCGAGGCGGGGGGGGGGGGGGGGAGGAGAGGCCAAGTGATGATGTCACTGTCTCTCTTCTTCCAGTTTGCTGCAAAGATCATTGCTATGATGCGGGATAGTCTGCCCCATGGCATATGTGCCTCCTCGGAGAAGTCTCTAGGTTATGTGTTGATGAGCCATTAATGCCGAGTAGCCATCAAAGGCCACATCTTTGGTTGTGAGTGTTCCTAACCTCACAACATATTTCTGTAACACATGTAGTAATACTTCATAACTTCATATACAATGATAGTACATAAAATCCAACAGGTTATTATTGTTCAACAGATCAAGACCGATACCTCATAAGGCATACTTTGTACAAAACATAGTTATATGACAGTAGTGAATATGGGGGTTTCAGAGTGCCACTTTGAGGTACAGAGGGTCACAGGTTTGATGTGAAACAAGATCTTTTTCAATACTTTTGCATTGCCAGCAAACCAAAAAAATCAATTTTTTCAGCCGGCTGAAATAGGTGCTGTTACAAGCTCCACCTATACTGTGGGTGTCTGTTTGTCTGTCTGCCTGAGTTATGGAATTACAACAGTAAAATCATCTCAATTCATGGTTTAATGTCTCCTTTACTGTCTTCATGTGAAATAAAATGAAGTAGTCTTTAAAATGAACCATATTTGTAGGCCTGTTACACCATCTCAAAAAACTATCAGTGCTAGTTATTCTGTAATAATATTACAGCAATGACATAGTATTTCATTAATTAGACTAAAAAAACATGACTTTTGTGCCAACACATTTTATTCCTTGCTAGAGATGTTATACAGAGAATCTTTCATTCTTGCATGGATTACAATGTAGCATCAACATGAATTGCAATGAAAGGATCTTCAGCCTGGTTACTAATCTGGAAGTTAGCAGTGCCGTCACCTACAACCTGCACCTGTATTCCTGTACAGCAGTCACCTTCCTTTTGCCCAGAAATAACATCACAGTAAATTCCAGCAGGAAGGCCAGTTTGCAAATTCACATTCAAGCTCCTATGTATAAGAACAGATTGAAGAGGAATAAGCGGTAATTCAGACTCTCCAGTACTTCTCTTTTATTATAAAGCGTCATATGTTTGGCCAGCCAGGTGGCTTTGGGGATAGTGTTCTGCACTACAATATCTGACACTTAGGGTTTACTCTTGGGGCTGGTCTTTCAGTCCCTGATACAGCAGAGCCTGTGTGTGTTAGGTAGGGAGCAACATGAGCCTACAGTGAATACTAAGGCCATTGTATGTACTGTCTATATCAGGGATCTCAAACGCAAATCATCATGAGGGCCACATGAGGACTAGTACATTGGCCTGAGGGCTGCATCACTGAAACCTTTTCATACAATGATACAAAAGTATAATCAAAAAATGAAGAGTAATATAGTATGCTATTAAAAGTCAATGTATTAACTTTTTTAAAACTGTAATGCGAAGAGGGGTTTTAATAAAATATAAACACCTTTAACTATTCCTTATGTGGTCAGTAACACTGATGATGATCTACACTGGGAGTCTCAAACACACGGCCCGCGGGCCGTTTCCTGTGGCCTGTCATAGGTGCCGACTCTCTCCTGCACTGAGTAACCCTTTCCCCCCTCCTGGTCACAGCGCAAAGTCGAGGGGGAAACTGAGGCTCACCTAGGAATTATAAAAATGTTACAGAAAATTTCCACTTTGTCACAGACACTGTCCAGTGTCCCAACGGAGAGACCCCGGGCAATGGGGAAAGAGGGGAAGAGAGGGAAACCTCTGGGTGCCCAGCACCCCTAACAGAGAGACCCCTGGGCGATGGTGCCTGATGCCTCTAACTAACAGTCTATCACAGGGTCTCAAACACACGGCCCCACCCATACCCCGCCTCTTCCCACCCTTCCCCAAAGTCCCTGCCCCAACTCCACCCCCCCGCCCCTATTCCAACCCATTCCCCAAATCCCCGCCCCTGCCTCTCCTCTTCTCCACCTCCTCCCCATAGAGAGCAGCATCCCCACTCCTCCCCCCTGGAAAGTCCTAAGCGCTGTCAAACAGCTGTTTGGCAGCGGGAAGCGCTGGGAGGTAGGCGGAGGAGCGGGGACGTGGCACGCTCGGGGGGGGGGGCAGGGGGTGAGGGGAGCTTGGCTGCCAGTGGAGTTGGTCCCTATGGCGGCCCGCAGGAAATAACTCTGCAGGCTGCATGCGGCCCACAGGTTGCGTGTTTGAGACCCCTGGTCTATATGGCCTCAACGGGCCCATGCAGCCCTGCTAGACATAAAGGTTCCAGTTTGAAATGCCATCAAGCCTCGCCTGTGTAGGCATGAGTAAGCAGAGGTTATCCGTCTACTCCCATTCACAAAGGCTTCATATATTTAAAATTCAATAATATAGGCTGGTGAACATAAATTATTCAGACTCATTTTTCATTTGACCTGGACATTTAAAGAATTAGCTTTTGATTATCTTTAGAATGATCCCACTTCAGAAAGGGCAAAAATTAATTAAAATTGAAGCCCCATTTCATCTGGGATAGACACGAGTACAAATGTTAATCTGCTGAAGTATCTTTCAGACATTCTCTCTTTCATGCTTTCATGAATACAGTTCTATCTGACAGCTCCTCCTGCTTTTGCATGAAGGAGATATCTACAGTGTAATTTACACCCACGAAAGCTTATGCTCCAATACGTCTGTTGGTCTATAAGGTGCCACAAGACTCTTTGTCACTTTTTACAGATCCAGACTAACACGGCTCCCCCTCCGATACTTTACACATGAAAGACTCAATTCTACTCTACTTGCTGTATTTACTAGTATAAACTATGCCTCTGTGTGGATATAATTTCCACAGCAAGTCAATGGGGACTGTGAATACAAATCAGAAGACAGAATTAGACCCCAAATAACTAGAGAAAAAAACATGAAGACAAATGTGTATGATATTATCTGCAAGGACAGTAAATGCAGGTATTCTTGTCAGTTTCCAAAAGTTTAGAGTCTTCCTTATTATTAGGCTCCTATTGTTCTTTTTCTTCTCCCAAGTCCCTCCCTCTCTACACATCCAAATTACCTTTTCTGACAGTCCCATTGAGTCATCTCAGCAGTTTTGGCACTCTCCATTCGAATCAGGAGGGCTCTTTTCCACCAATATCATATTGTTTTGGGCTACCTCAGGATCACAGATTCCCTACATCTCTTTCTGCACCTCTGACTCTAGAGAAGTCTAGAAAAGCACAATAATAACCCTAACATGAAGTGCCAGCCCTGATGAGACTCTGCTAGAAGCTCTGTGGAATATCCAGAAAGGAAGTGGGCCTGGTTAGACACAGAAAACCCTTTGTATAAGGCAGGAAGACACTTAAATGAAGTGAGTGATTCAAACCTCAACACACACAGAAGACTGAGAACAATTCATATGCAATGCAATTCTGAGAACTTCCCGACTGCTGTGCTCCTCTAAAACATCCAATCCAATCATCAACTCTTCTCACCATAAAAAAAAGCTGAAAACTCCCAGCTGCCAGCCCTTTCTCAAACCTATGCCAGCTTCACCCACATTACTCTCAGTCAATTCTCCACCCATTCCTCACAGCCATGTCTGCTAGCCTATTAAGGCCCAGGCCCAACACCAATAGTGGCCAAAGTACCTCTCAGATCTGCATGGTCATGCATTCCTCACTGACCAACCTCTTACTGCAGGTTTCAAGTCCAATGACCAGGAACCAGCAGCAGAGTATTGTGTTGCTTAAGGAGCTAATGCTGGGTTTTGAAGAATGCTTTTGGGAGTGGGAAGATGGTAGGTTTGGAATTGCATTAGGTAAGAGCCTTGATCTGTCCCACCAACTAGTTGCCACAGATTCTATAGCCAGTAATAGGCTCTACAGCTTGACCAGAGGGTAAGATTTTTTTCTGAAGCTATTCACTCCTCCCACTTACCAGTCATCATTATTAAAGACGATGAATCCTCTATTACCACGCCCAAAAGCCACTTGATTGCTGTCATTGTCCCACCAGTTTGAGAAAGGCTGGCCATCAACCACATTACGGAAAATAACCATGTTCCTGAAAATACAACCAATGGGCTTGACTTTAATTAACATATCCCCACATCAGGTGAAGAATATATTGGGAATTGCTGTTTGCAGTGTCCTACTTTATTTGATGCCATCTATGTTCACAGACCCAGTCGTTGCCACAAGTGGAGTCTGGATTAATTGTAACAGGTTTGGTTGATCCATCCTCAGAGCTTGGTGGTCCCACCCAATCATTAATGTCCTTGTTATTAAACACAAAGTTATACAGATTAAACGTTCTATCTGGGGAGACAGCTCAATGAAGCATACAAGATGACACAGGGATAATTAACAGCCTAATGGCCTACAGACTTGTTCTCATTGGTCATAAACCTACCTTTCCATTCTGAAAATATCTTGGCCAGCGGTAACTTGACATAACACGTGTAAATCCATAAGGATGAGCAAGCATAAAGCCAAGTGCCATTTTATATAGTCTGTAAACCAAAGAGTAATGAGACACATGAAGATACACTATCTTTTTTGGGAGGAGAGGGGGGAAAATGGGGAGAGAGAGGGTGGGAAGGAAGGAAGAAGAAGAAAGGGAACTCTGTTGGCTGTATGAAGCTACCTGGAGTCCCAGAAGGTTAGAACAGAAGCTCCCCCAGCACCATGTCCCCTTTGGGTGTCATGATTATCCACAAAGACAAGGGCTATGTCAGAGGGCATAAAACCCCAGCCTTCTCCCCAATTCCTAAACAAACAAACAAAGAGTCAAACACATTGAAATTAGTAGTTCAAATATTGCAGGAATCTAATGATTAATTCAAATTATAGATATATTACTTTAAATAGGCCATCTTTTCTCCATTCCATTTGCGGATCACCGTACCCAGTTTGGCACCATATTTGAATTCAGTCACTCGGCCAGTTCCAAAGTATTCACTGCTTTTTATTGGCTCTCCACCCAAGTCAATTACCTAGTAGAAGAAAGAAAAGCCATTGTTATAGTTCAATCACCTGGTTAAAAAGATACAATTTATAGACCTAAATGCTGCTTTAAGGGAAGAAGAAATCAATTGACTGCATTAAAACAGAAATAAGTTTTACTTACTAAATTCCATTTATTGCTTCCTAAAGCATCCCAAATTCATGTGCAATAATAATTAAAAACCTCTTGTCTCCTCTCCCCCACTCCCAAATATGTCATGACCATGAATAGACTA